AAAAAACAATAACTCCACAATAGTTTGGAACTTTGGATTAGCTGAGTCACTATACAAAGGTCTATAAGCACTCGATTTTGCTAAGCCATCCACAATAACAATAAGCTCCTGGGAATCCATCTGAACGATAGTGGGCTAATCTCTAAGGCCCTAGGATGAGTTCAAATGATAATATCAGGAATGATGATGTCATCATCGAAAGATATTCTCAATACACGACGGGAATGTGCTGTTGGGGCAGTCTGAGGGGGCTAGGATTTCATCCATTTTATAGTGTTATAGTGTTCACCGGGTCGCCATCCACTGAAAGAGAGGCCAAATTAATCTGACTTGCAATTCTAAGATCATTAAGGGCTGACAGCATCTCAGCTTTTATGGAATCTGCCACCCCTAAATTGGTCTACCAAAGGCCCAGACCAGCCTTCCATCTCTTATTATGGTGCTACCAATACCCACCTCACCCGGGTTTCTTCTTGAGCTGCCATCAAACTTGACTCTTGTGGTATCCTAATCAGTATAATCCAACCTTTGAGTTTTAGAATGCTGATAGCTAAGAGGTGATTTAAGTTATGTTTCTGTGTCGAATGCACAGAAATTTAAAGATTAGCAGTATTCCAGATTGTCATGAGAATCTAATCCAAGTGTCTAGAGGAATCCAACAGGGCTATGTATCTAGCAAAATTAGATCATTTGAGATGCCCGAAACAACTGACTAAAGAGTTTATTGAAGTAGGCTTGTATGATGTTTTGGGAAACCAACCAATGTTTTAAAATCCATGTCAGACCCCTCGACTGAATTGGATTGAACCAAACTGGACCCAATTCATTTCATGAAAATCTTGCTGATTCAAGTAAACTATCAAATTAAACCGGGAAAACCAGAACAGGGGCCTTTTTTGGGGTTCGACTCTAAGATCCGATTTAGAAGTGGTGTCAATTGAATTCTAGTATCATATGCTGGATGCTTCACAAGTGTTGCCGTGTTGGTTCGATTTTTACCTACAAATGATTGGACCGGGTCAAACCACGAATTAGATGCAAACAGCATAGCAGAAGTACAATGTTCCCGGGCCACATTATTGTTAATATTCTGCTTTTTTATCAGCAGAAAATAAATTTCATTAGATTTAATTAAAGAAATAGTTAATAAAACTTGATGACAATGTCATCCTACATAGAAGCCCCAAAATACATCAGATTACAGCTTTGCCCAAAATAAACTGAACCTCTTTGCTACTATATCAATTTCGCTGAAAGCATGTCTATCTCCAAGGAGCTGAACTGTAATTTTTGGTACATGAGATAACCAGTTAAAATCCTGTTGTATAAGCACCGTGATTGCTAGTTTCCAGCCCTCTATAGGTTATGTTTGGTTTGATAGAAAATAAGAGAGAAACAGAAAATTGAGATAAAGTTCAGTCTTCTTCCCCTTTTTTATCAAATTCATAAAACTTCTCAAATGTTCTAAGAGTCTGTTTGGTTCACAGTCAGAATCTGGAATCAGAATTGGAATCAAAATCCTCCAAAATCAGAATTAGAATCGAAATCGGAATAGTCCATTCCCATAATCTGTTTGGTTCAGACAAGAATAAGAATGGGAATTAAAATCAGAAGGAATGGGATTTCATTCCCAAAGGAAGGGCAGGGAATGACCATTCCCTCAAATGGGATAATTCCGATTCCACCCAACCAAACAGTTGGAATTGGAATAGCCCATTCCGATTCCGATTCGAGACTCCTATTCCTACGAACCAAACAGGGTCCAAGTTTCTAACAATTAAAACAAACCATGAATCAGAGAGAGAGAGAGAGAGAGAGAGAGAGAGAGATTCCCCGTGAACATTGCCCTCTACATGTAATGAATAAGATCATGCATTCTCAGTTTTTGCTCCTTTTAGTGTCTGTCACAAGGAAATCTAGAATTGCAAAGTCTTCATTCATTCAAACATCCATTATCAAGGAAGGTCTCTTGGTATCGTCCTGTGCATAAAAATTTAACTAGTCTATGTTAATTTTTGCCTTTGACTGTAACTGTAAGGGTATCTCTTCAGTTTCATTAAAGCACTTTCCCATTCAGGCATGCTTCTTCTGTCGAACAAACGAGAACCCGTATCCTCAAGAGCTGAAGGAAGTCCTCCAAGACAAGCTACCATATGTTTTGATATCTCCATGTAACCATCTATAGGATGGTCTTGTCCAAATGCATGCCAACTGAAAAGCTGAATGGATTCATCATGATTTAATTCTTTAGGCTTATATATGTTTCTGACTTCAAACTCATTTAGCAATTGCTCATTTCTAGTTGTTATGATGATTCTACTTCCCAAACCAAACCAATCAAGCCTTCTAGCTAATGCATTTAATTGGTCCGATTGGTCCACGTCATCTAGAACAAGAAGAACTCTCTTAGAGGGAAGCCTTTCCTTGAGCAGATTGATCCCTCTAGAAACACTGCTAATCCTTATGTCTTTCTTTAGAACATCATAGAGAAGTTGTTCTTGCAATTGAGCTAAACCATTGGGTTGTTTAGAAGCTTCTCTAATATTTGAAATGAAACTGCTACCTTCGAATTTGTGAAATATGAGGTTATAAACAGCCTTTGCGATAGTTGTCTTACCAATTCCACCAATACCACATATCCCTACAATGCGAACATCATTTGATTGAACACTTAATAACTTATTTACTTCCTCTGCTCGAGTATCTATCCCAACTTGGTAGGTAGCCACATCCAATGAAGTTTCAATCAATTTGCTCATAATCAATTCTATAATTTTCTGGATACACTTTGATTGATGCCTGCTTATGATCCAAATTAAGAGGAAAGAAAAAGCACAAGATACATTAAGGGAGTTGAAAGAAGCCATAAAGACACAGAGACACAAACAACATGACAAATTTCATGACAATTAGTTTTTAACCACTGCTACTCAACTGTAAGCTTGTGGAATAATAAGTAGTGGAATCAAGCACGAATTGAACAAATAGCTAAGTACTATCTGATTAAATTGAGTAAATAATAATATCAACAGAGGAATTACGTACACATAGAAATAAAAGAAGAATGCAAATATGATGAACAATAATTACAACTAACGAAAGGAACTAAGTGCATTTTTTCATGGCAACTTGGATCACCTCAAATCGTTTACTTGAAAAAGAAAAAAAAAACATTGACTTGTCAACAATGTAGTGGCATGGCTGTTTGAACTGCTGAATCGTTTGACCTGGACAGTGGGTTATGAGTTAGACATAAGCTGTGTTGTTTAGAAAGGAAAGGTAGGGAAATCTATACAAGATTTGTACAGGCTTCCTTACCTTTTCTTCCAAACCACAGTTAATTCTTCTTTTTTCTGTTTTTCCCCATTTTAGCTATTTCCATCATTAATAACAATATCCTATTTATCGGAATTATTTCTGTTTAAAATGATGAATGCATATGTATTAATTATTATGTACAATATTCGAGACATGCCCAATTTTTTTATGTAATCATCTGTACATTTTTCTACATTTTATCTATATTTTATATTTTTACTATTTGATTTATTACAGCATGGATTGATCTATTTGTCTTGGATAGTTGAACCACTGATCCGTCACCTCAAGGGAAAGGTGACTCTGTTTTTAGATTGTCTTTTAAAAAGCTGGTTGAGTGTAGGACTAAGTAGGGGACAATAGTTAGGATGCAATATACAAGGAACACTTCTATCTCTCTTTTGATTCATTTGAATCAGAAAGAAATTTGTGTAAGAGATACTTTCTTCAATTTTCTTCTATCACACCACGTTTTAAGAAAATAGAGGCTAAAATGGACCTTTAAACAAAGAACAACCAAAATGTACATTGAAGAAATTCCCATCAAATCACTAAAGCTTTGTTTGTTCGCAATACAATTTCATTTGCTTTGATACAAAAAGTATGGGAGTGCAAATGAATTGGAGTCCAATTTTTGGTTTAATTTTGTTATAGGTTTCACTTTTGTTTGTATTCAATGCAGACAAAGTAAAATGAAAGCTAAAGCAGAATAAAGTAAAACATGAAGCAAAGATAGACCAACGTTTACAAAATTCTCATTTGCACTATTACAAATAATTTTTCTTGATGATTTTCTGAAGACTCCAAACTGTATGTGTTTTATATGTAAATATTTAATAATATGCTAAAAATTTTTCAAACTTCTATTAATTACTGAATATTAAATAACATTAGCAAACCATGGAATGAAGTTGGGTCCTCAAAATTCAATTAGATTGGATTATTTTAGGATTCATAATTAAAGTCTTCCCTTGAGCAGATTTGTTCTTGGAGGAGGAACAAGAACAGGCCCAAAATCATTCAATTCAATAACAAAGATAAGGAAATGTTAATAGAACGGAGAGGCTTTTGAGTCGGAATTACCCGTTGTCAACACGCGGCAGATCCCACCCGGACAAATTTGCAGCCGCGTTGAGAGCTGCCCTCCAGCCTTTCGCCTTCCCTAGCAACTCCCCCTTGAAACTCTGTTCGTGTTTTGCAAACGCTGCTGCAACACAACCGGTCTGTTTCCGGACATCTGAAGGATCGACATCATAGAAAACGGGCAGAACCCATTGCCCCAATGCCTCCCTGCATTCCAGGATCTTCACAAGTTCATTGAGGCACCGGGTCGATGAAGCATAGTTTTTGGAGAAAACGACAATACAAATCCTTGATTCTTCAATCGGCTTGAGCAATTCCGACATGCTTTGGACCTTTTCTCTTCTCAATTCGTCCCTGTAGGTGTCAATTCCCTTTTGGTCCAAAGCAGCATAGAGGTGATCACTGAAGTTATTGCCGGTGTCTGAGCTGTAACTGAGGAAGACGTCGTAAATCCACTGGGAAGTGGAAAAGGTGGATGAAGGAGCCATGAATTAAAGAAATTAAGGAAAAGGGTTAACGAGAGATGGGATTGAGGAGAGGGGCTTCTGAGACTCCCGGCCGGTGCTTGTAGTTGTGGAGGATCGGCGATCTTCTGACTTCTGACTGAGACAAAAAAACAGAAAAAACTGTGGCGCTCTGCTAGAGCCATTGCGTTTAAAGTTTGTTCACACGGAGTCAACGCTGCCGCTTCTTCGAAAGATTTTTGTTTCCGTGTGCTTACTTTCCCGGATGGGGCGGTGTGAGCGGAATAGACTCCAGACTCGATCAGGCACGCGGAAACAAGACCAAACACCAGAAGAGAATATGCCTTCTGCAAGAAGAAAACCCAAAAAAAAAAAAAAAGAAAGATTTCCGCGTTGAAGCCTGATGAGTGAGGGGTGAGGAGCGAGGAGCGAGGAAGAGAAACACTGAAATGGACCAAACGGTGTCCATTGTCCAAAGTTCAGAACTCATAAAGCAGGTCTACGTTGGAACGGCTGGGGGCAACTACACAGGCCAGGCCTACGCAGCCGAATCATGTGATGTTCAGGATGTGTTTGGTTTGAAGGAGAATTTTGGTGAGATGGAAAGGATTGAATGGGATAAGAAAAAGAAAATGGGTGGAAAATTTTTATGTTTCATTATTTGATAAAAAGGGAAAATAGTGAAAAAAGTAAGCCCAATAACACTTGATTAATTAAGGCCATGTTTGGGAGTGCTTATGTTAAAAATAAGTGTTTAAAAACAAGTGCTTATTTAAATAGGTATTTAATTGCACTTATTTAAATAAGCATTTAATTGTACTTATTTTTTTCAAGTGCTTATTTTAAAGGAGAATTTGGGTGGAAAAAATAAGCACTTATTTTATATGGCAAATTTCTTAAACTACCTTGCTGTTTAGCTAATTGTCAAGATGTACCCTTATTGTTTATAAATTGTCTGTCTTGAAGCATCCTTACTGTTTTTTACAATTGTCACAAACTTCCCTTACTGTTGTTGACAATTGTCACAAACTTCCCTTACCGTCAACTATCCGTCATGGGTCGTTGACATGTGACATCAAGTGATGAGTATATTGTTCAAAAATTCCTAGATTATCTTTTATCGGTCTAAATGCACCTTTTTTGGTTTGGCCTATGTGAGTTTGGTCCCTTTCGGTTTAGTCATGACCATCCTCTTTGAGCCACCTGCATTACATAAATATCAACACGACAAGAACGAAGATATTGTCTTTAGTTTGTTCGGAGTCACGAGATAGTTTTGGTATCAATGTTAATAACCGGCGTAGCTTCAAGTACAACTGGTATGGTGGAAGGCGAGCTCTATCGACTGAAAGGATTAGGATTGAAAAACAACGATGTTTTCTTCTATAGATTCGAAGTTTGAAAACCATAAAACTCGAATATGTTATATTAAACATCGTTTTCTTCTATAGACAAAAGTTTATGATCACCGTGCGGAAGTTGTAGTGGTAATGGAGTGGTTGGAACAAACATCGAAGGATTTAGTTTTCATGAATGAAGCTAATAGGATTGCCCACCTGCCTAATAGTTAACCATTAAGGGTTGATACAATAATTTTCTTTTCGAGCGAATTTTAATCCAACTTAACGGAAGGGCATAAATGATATTTCAATAAAATCATTACGATTTAACGATGGTGGCAATTGTTAGAAACAATAAGAGTGCTGTAATACAATTTATAAACAATAAGAGTACAGCTTGACAATTAAGGGAGCAGAGTTGGGATTGTTGAAATCCTAATCCCTTTTTATTTTTCACTTCTTGTGTGGCCAAGCTTGCATCTAAGCATAGGAGGGAGTGGGAAGACCTCCTAATTTGACACGGGCTGAGAAGATTAGTGAATTGGAACCCTCTCTATTTTTCTTGACATTTGTAGATAGCATTGGATAGCTTAATTGTTAGACATTATCTTTCACTCTATTTTTCTTGACATTAGTGAATTCGAACCCTCTCTTTAGTGGAAGTTTCAAAAATGCCATTTTTAAATTTAATAATGACACATTTAGTGGCAATTCGCAGTGCCACTAAATAACAACCGCCATAGTGACAATTATAAGTACCATAAAAGTCATAAAAATATTTATCTGTATAGTGGCATTTATAATTGCCACTAAAAAGTTTTAATCATTCTAGTCATTTAGGATTTAGTGGCATTTACAAGTGCCACTAAATGTCTAAACATATTTATACATGCATTCTAAAACATAATAAAAAAGATGTTGCTTATTATATAATGGTAATTGGACCTGCGTCAATAAATATTAATTTCATCATGCCCACACCCCTAATCCTAAGGCCAGCCTAACTGTAGACCCATGTAGGCAGTCCATAGATGGCTGCATTGCAAAATACTGATGGGTGCCAATATCAGACAATGTGTGAAATATCATTTTAATGTTGATCATTGAAAGATAATAAATGGTAGTAATCATCTAGACCTTAATTTTGGATGCATCTTGATAACAAATCACACTTGAACCTAGTTAAGAACATAGGTTTTCCAAGATCAAACGTATGTATCTTGATAACAAATCACACTTAAACCTTTTCATCGGTTAGGTTTTATTTTGAAAATTTGAGAAATAATGTAGGGCAAATTTGACATTCTGTTTCTTTTTCATATCTTCGTTGATGCATGTTAATGACTAGGAAGGATTAGTCAATTGTTAGAAATAGTAAGGGTAGCATTAGTCAATTTTCAAATAGTAAGAGTACACTTAGTCAATCATCGAAACCATAAGGGTGGTTTAAGAAATTTACCCTTAAAATTATTTTAGGACTTTTGGAGTCAAGGGGGTTGTTAATGGTTTGGATTCATTTACTTTTTAATGCCTTTTGAACAATAATGAGGCATTGGTTGATGTATATTGCATAAATTTTTTTGCACCTATGTTGTAGAGGATGCGAGTTCAACATTTTGTGCTCTATGCGTAGGATGCAAATAGATTGAATGGGATTTGAGTTGGGGTATATTCGAATCCAATTTGATGATACAAATCCTAGATCTGATTGGATCTCACAAGTGTAAATTTGAACCTGACGATGCGTGATCTGGCAAGCTCCCTGTTGGTTGATGACTCAGAAGCCAAGCTAGAGAATTCCTTGCTGGAAGGTGACTTGGATGCTGAGCTAGAAGATAGTTCAGATGTCAAGCTATATAATGACGAGTTGTGTAATTTTCTAGGAGACCTGTAGAGAAACAATATTAGAGTGCCTGGGTTTCTTTACCCAGGGTGGGCACTCCAATTCAAGTCAGTGAATTGGAGATTTTTGAGGGAGCTAAAGGTGAGAAAGCTAGAGAGCTATGAGAACTAAATTGCGCATACCTTCCAATAACGTGTCCAAGATTCTTGGGAAACTGTGTCTGCCATGTTCATAGAAGAGGGATAGAGTTCGTTCCATCAACTCCAATTAAATGATACAAAAAAACAGGTGTAATGGTTGACGTCATGCTCCTGGTGTAGTCGGAAACAGTAACTTGCTTCAGGAAGAGGTCAGTGAGTATGTCTCATAGGTTGCCACTTGGACCTTAATTAGGTTAGCAAGTCCTCGAGGAGGTCACTCCTCATGTTGGGATCCCTTGGACCCCTATCAAATTTCTAGAGTTATGTATGAGGTCGCCAATTGGGTCTCCATTATTTCACTGGAGGAAGGTCACAAAGTCGACAAAGGTAAGTCGCCAGGTTGGTGGAGGTAGGTTGCTAGGTCTTTGGAGATAGGTTTCCAGGTTCGTGGAGGTAGGTCACCAAGTCAACGGAAATGGGTCGCTAGGTCTCCGAAGGTAGGTCGCCAGGTCTCTAGTAGGTGGATGTAGGTCGCTAGGTCTCCGGAGGTATGTCGCTAGGTCGGTGTAGGTAGGTTGCTAGGTCTCTAGTAGGTTGGCAGAGTTAAGTCACCAGGTCGGCGGAGGTGGGTTGCCAGGTCTTTGGAGGTAGGTCATCAAGTCCCTAATAGGTCAACAGAGGTAGGTTGCCAGGTCTCTGGAGGTAGGTCACTAGGTCAGTGGAAGTAGGTCGCCATGTCTCTAATAGGTCAGCGGAAGTAGGTCGCCAAGTCTCTAGTAGGTTGGCGATGTTAGGCCGCTAGGTCTTTGGAGGTAGGTGTTATGATGAAAATGGAGGGCCAAATCTGTCCTCATCAATTGCCCCAACTCTTGAGTTAAGGTGAGCTCGACGAAGGGAACATCAGTCTAGTTTGCTCCCCAAATTAGAAGAATCTAAGGGTTTAATGTATCATTACACAGGAATTTGCCATCTTGACTATTGGGGAATAAGAGCGAACTCATCTGCTTGAGGAGAGGTGGAGAAGGCACTTTGAAGACATCTACCGTTCTAGGGATGCAATCGTCAATGAGTTTTGCAATTCAGCCGAACACCTTTGGTGCGAAGTTTGTCATGCCATCCTCAAGAGGGGCTTCAAACTACATGACTACCTCCTTGGGTCACTCCACTTACGTAGGCTACAACGCAATGTCCATCAAACTAGTCCTTGATGCAGAGCCTAAAATCGAGGAGGAGGATGACCATAAAGAAGTTGACCAAATTTGCATGTCTGTCGAGGTGCTGAAAGTGAAGTAGTCTTTGTTTGCTTCATTTCTCCTTTCTCTTTATTAGGTTGATGGTGAGATACTAACGTCCTTTGAGATCGATTTAAGTATAGTAGCGGCATAGTCAAAATGCTGTTGAGCTAGATAAATGGAGGCTGACCTAAACAATTCAGCTTACCTATTGCCAACATGTTTCAAGGTTGGCTTAGGGGGTCTTGATATTGAAAGCAATTTGGCTTCCCCTTAGAGTGCATTTTGACTAGGTCACCAAAGTGAATGGTCATTTTGAAGTACCGTGGCTACATCTATGCTATCATGGGGAGAAACATTTTCAGGTATGCAATCACGGGTCAATACTGCACATGTACTGCACCTGCTCCTAGAACTACTGGCTACCTACTCCTACTAGAGCCATGGGTGGCTCATGTTGAGGGGTCACTTTACTGTCTACGGGTTGCCTACTCTCATGGGAACCATGAAAGATTCACCCTGTGACACTAGCTCCACGTTTAGTTAGTTGCCCACTTTCATGGGAGCCATGTAGAGCTTTATCAATAGCGAGGCTTTGTAGTTGGGCTAGGAAATAATCTGGGGCGAACCATTGAAGCTCACAAGAGTTGTTTGTTTACTTTTTACCCCTTTGTGATACATGCATCATTGTTGGCATTTGACTGGTGGATTGGTGCCACGGTTTCACTACGTCAGTCTTTAGAGGCACTGACAGTCTGCTCCTACGATAGGCCACAAGGAGCTCAACCTATGGGGGTAGTTCTACCAACTGTGAAGGGAAGGGAGATCCATCATATGGATGGCTGAACCATGCAAAGTGGTTGGGAGAAATTTCAAAAATTTCTTTTTTCCCTCCCAAGAATCACATTCCCAGTTTTAGAAAAGTTACATTTTTCAAGGGTTTTTCTTGAAACAAATTGGACCAGATCTGAAACCAAAGAAAAGGGAGAGGAATACCTGATATGGAATCCACACAAATAGCTCCCAACGTAGGAGTTCAAGCC